AAAAAAAAAAAAAATCTCGTGGAGACTGTTGAAATCAGAGATTACAGGGGTCTTCTCGCTAATGGTATGCGCTTATTGGCTGACACAGCCATTGCCTGGCAAGCACAAGGGCCTGAGTTCAATCCCCGGTTCCGCCAAAAAAAAAAAAAAAAAAAAAAAAAATTCTGCCTGTAATTCTCTACTATTTTCATTTTGGGGGGATCCTTTTTAGTTTTTGTCTAATTATTACATGTGGTTATTTATGCAATTTTATGCTTCATTCTAAACCTTGAAATTTCTTACCAACTTTTTGTGAAGCCTCTTTGAAATTGTTAACACCTTAGCGTGTGTGACTCAGGGCCTTGAAAGAGGTTATTGTGAACAGCAAGATGAATGCCAGACTTGTTTTTTTTTTTTTTTAACCAGAACACATTCCCTGCAAATTAAGGCACAGATGAAACAGCAAATTCCTCTTGGCCAGGGCTTTGGTGAGGAAAAGGTAGATTTATGCAGGGTTTGCTCAAATTACAGGTGAGGGGACAGTAAAAGCGGTGTAGCTTTTGGCCAAATGAATGTCATATGATCTACCTGCAAATAAAACTTAGTTCTTTGTTGGAAAGGTGAGACCTTTGTGCTTTGCTGGGAATGGAAAAGATAAAGAAGAAAACAAAAACAATACACATACACCAAGTGTCAGTGTCAGTGTCAGTGGGAAACACATACTGGACATAACAGGCTGGCATTTCCTAGGCCTTTCTTATCAAGAGAAGGATAGCAAAAAGGAAAAGGTTCCAGGACTTTTTTTTTTTTTTTTAAATCTTTCATCAAAAATACCTGCTGCATAAATAAGGCTTGTAAGTAGATATTGGTCTGGAAGAAAACAAAATCATATATCTTCTGATTTCAAATAAACTGTATTGAGTTCTTTTATAATTCTGTGAGGCATACTCAAGTTTTGGGGAGTGTTTGGGTTTGCAGAGACCTTTGAAGACATTAAGAATTTTGTATTTTGAATTAAGAGTTTTGTGTGCCTATGCTAGGTGATAAAGGCCCAAGTCCCTGGTACCCTTTACATGGACAATTTCAGAAATATGAGGAGCAGCCTCTGTAGCGAATGGGAATATATGCTTTTCAGTGCTTTGCAACTTCTCTGGAAAGAAGTAGAAAACAAAAGCAGAAATTATAGGTGAGGAAGTGGACCCATGGAAGGTTTGTTTCTAAACCAAAGGTCATTCTGGAAACTTCAGGAATTTGAGAATAGCAGACAAGATTGGGTTCAGCCATGTGTAATATAGATCATCGCAGAAAAAAGCTTTATTTGGCAGTAAATTTTTCTTCCTTCATTTACAAGGAGTCTGCAGCCAGGCAGTTGAGAGCTGGTGTGACAGCTCTGTAGTTGGCATGGACCTAGGCTCCTTCTCCTTTAGTGGTTGCCCCACTGTCAGGCTTGTAAGACACTGCTATTGTAGCTGTGACATCTGTGCTCCAGACAGGAAGATGGGCAGAGCCAGAGGGCAGACTTCTGGTAGAACTCCTGCCCCTGCCTCATCCCTGAAATCTCTTCTGGAAGGTCTACCCCATCTGTAAAGAGGGTTGCTTTTCCAAAAATATAGAGGCTAAATATTAGCTGGACAAACCTTCTGCCATACCAAATGATCCTATTCTTAAGGGTATTATCAAGACTTAGATGGTTAGACTTTGGGATAGTGAAGGAAAGTAGTTCTGTTTGGTGAGCTTGATAATTGGATCAACAGTATTGAGGACATTTATACTAGGCACTGGGGTTATAACAGTAAATCAAGCATGGTCCCTCCCCTCACAGCCTAATGGGAAACAAAATGGGTTTTAAATAAGTCAAATTTAAATATGTTGAGTAATAATAAAGGGAAATAAAGAGTGCTTGGGATTATGGGACAGGAACAGATCTTAAGAATAGGAAAAGACTTACACATTGAGTTTTAAAGGATGCTTAGGAACCAGGTCAGAAAGTTGGTGATGGGGGTATAGGAGGCAAAGGACATAAGGGGAGGGCATATTCCAAGCAGACCAACTTCATATTGTTTTCCTTTTCTTCATTATTTTTCTTACTTCTTCATCAGAGAGAATCAGAATTTCTAAGCAACAAAGATAGCCAGAGACTAAGTAGTCTTTTTATTTTAAATGGCTAAAGGGACTACATCCTTTCTATTTGTTTTTCACTCCATCTAGATGAATGCCTGCCTCCGTAGGCTACACAGGAAGTGTTAGTAACCAAGGAAGGAGGTAGATGGATGATTGGGCACTCTGAAGTCCACTGCTCCAGCACAGATCTGGGTTTTTGTCACAGTGTGGGATTTTGGGAAGGCAAGGATTGGTTCTGACCATGAGGTGCTGATAAGATCCCATTCTACTTCCAGGAAGTGGACATTGTGGTGGCACCGTGTCAAGGCCTCAGGCCTGCAGTAGATGTTCTGGGTGACTTGGTGAATGATTTCTTGCCTGTGATAACCTATGCACTCCACAAAGATGAACTCTCTGAGAGGGATGAGCAAGAACTACAGGAAATCCGAAAGTATTTTTCCTTCCCCATATTCTTTTTCAAAGTGCCGAAGATGGAGATAATAGACTCCACTACCAGAACAGACAATGAAAGATCACCTTTGTATCGCCAGCTAATTGATCTGGGGTATCTGAGCACCACTCACTGGAACTGTGGCGCCCCTGGCCAGGACATCAAAGCTGAGAGCATGTTGGTGGAACAGAGTGAGAAGCTGAGACACTTGAGCACTTTTTCTCATCAGCTGTTGCAGGCCCGTCTGGTGGATGCAGCGACGGCCCTGAACCTGGTGCACTGCCACTGCCTTGACATCTTCATTAACCAGGCCTTTGATATGCAGCGGGACCTGCAGATTACTCCTAAAAGGCTAGAATACACTAGGAAAAAAGAGAATGAGCTGTATGAATCACTGATGAATATTGCTAACCGAAAGCAGGAAGAAATGAAGGATATGATTGTTGAGACTCTTAACACCATGAAGGAAGAACTTCTGGAAGATGCTACCAACATAGAGTTTAAAGGTATGTCCTAGAGAGTCAGATGGGGCAAAGTGGCTTTAAGAGCCTCCAACTCTATTCTAACTGGAAATTGGTTACATTGATTCTTAAGGTTATAGTAGGAGCCCACCTTAGCCAAGGCAGCCTTTCTTGGTCTCAGTAACTTTCCTGGAGGACTCCACTGTCATTCCTTATTTAGCAATAACTTTTAGTAAAAATTTATCCTAATAACTCTAATCTCCACTTTCTTTCTGTATTCCTGGATACCAGTGGAGCTGGCGAAGAACTGCTTGAAGAGTTTTACTGTGCCATACCTTTGCTCTGTCAGTATGGCCCAGGTGCCCTTATCATTTATGTATTTAGCAGTACTGGGCAAACCTAAGGCCTCACATGTGTTAGGCAAGCAATGTACCACTGAGCCAGCCTCATCTCCATCTTCTTATTTTCAGGGTCTCATTTTCCTGAAACAGAACTCAGGAGCATTCCCCAAAGTAGTGGCTTAGCTCTTCTGGCAGTTCTGTGCTTCACAAATGGCTATTTAATGCATTTGGGCAAAAGTGACTGGTCAGGTCTTTTAGCTTCCGAGACTTAGGTGCTGCTGCCTTTGTGTACTGACTGCTGTCTAAACCTCCATGCATGGATATAACTTTACTATCTATTAATTAAAATGGCACAATTTGCAAGTTACTCTTCAGATTTGCAATTGGGCATACATCCAAATCACCTGGGAGGCCTCCCCAAAATACTGGTGCTGAAGACAACTAAAGACTTAATCAGGATTTCTGACACAGCAGCTAATGTCTGTGTTTTTCAGAATCCTCCTTAGGTAGATTTTGCCTATCTTCATTTTTTTAGATGATGGAACTAAGGCTTAAATGGGTTAAGCAATTTGCTTAAGACCCACAGCTAGTAAGTGGTAGTAGAGGCAGGATTATCTAGACAGCTTTAATTTGTACTTTTAATTTGCATGTTTTATTGTCTCCCCTACTCTTCTCCCTTATATTGTGAATTGCACCGAGGAACTTGTCATGAGCTTCATGCCCAGCCCTTGTTAAAGTTTTTTTTTTTTTTTTTCTTTTAATCTTTGAGACAGGATCTTGCTGAATTGCTAAGTTGCTCAGACTGGGCTCAAACTTGGCTGTCCTGCCTCAGCCTCCCAGAGTATGGGATTACAGGTGTGTACCCCCAAGCCCAGCTTTTACTGCTTCTTAATGTACTCCCAGTTACTCTTGCTACTTCTTCTGGTACCCAGTTTCAAAGCATTCATACATTTTTAACTGTCTTTTTTTCCCTGTGTCCCTATGTTTAATTAGTTGCCAAGTACTGTTGAGTCTTCTTGCATATAGTAGTTTATATCCACTTGTGGTTTTCCATCCCATCATCTTTAATTGAATTTCTGGCCAGGGAGATGGCTTAGTAGAATAAGCGCTTCCCTGGCAAGCGCAAGGGCCTGAGTTCAATCCCCGGTTCTGGAAAAAAAAATAATAATAATTGAATTTCTGTTACCTAATCGATCCCCTTGACTCTTTTTCCTATACTTTATTGGCTTCATGTTCCTATAGATGAGTTTAAACTCCTCAGCCTAGTATTGAAAATCTTCCAAAGCCTATCCCTTACTGATTTTGCCAAGTCTTGTTTTCTATTATATACCTTCCTATAATTTTTATTTGGGTTGGTTGTAAATTCTTGTTGTCATGCGTATACTTCCTTACCTTTTCTTTGCTCATTCCCTGCCTTAAGCTTGAAAGTCTTTTATCTTTGAATTTCCAACTCTTACCTACCTATCTGTCAGGGCCTCTCCAAAAGCCATCTTTTCCACTCATCTTTTTTAGCTACTCAAAAGGTAGCTACTCACTTACCTAACCACAGCATGATCTGTACCAGCAAACACAGACTTGTAGGGTGTGTGTGTGTGTGTGTGTGTGTGTGTGTGTGTTGCACTGCTGGGGATCAAGCCCAGGGCTTCATGCATGCTAGGCAAGTACTCTACTACTGAGCTTCAATGATGAGAGCACCTGGGCCATGCAGACAGATTCTTGAATGCAACACATCTTGGGGAGTGGATAAGCGGGAGCTACGAGTTATATCATATTTATAAATATGAAAGAAATGTAGTTGGCTTTAGCAAAGATAAGATGCCCAATTTCTTATAAATCTTTCTAAAGATGAACAAAATATGCCTTTGGTAAGTTCCCATATCAGGGAGGAGTAGCTAAGAAACATGTGCCATGAAATTCTAGGAAGTCCTCTCGTATTTAGGTAAGGACACTGGAGCATTAACACTGGCACCAAACAGAATGAAGGGAAGTCAGGGCAGTGAGGTAAGGCAGACCAGAAAATATCTGTCTGTATCATTAGGTGTACCATTTGATGCCTGGGATGAGGCAGTTAGCTAAAGAGACACGAGAGTACCTGGGAACAAGTAGGCCAAGTGTGTGTGCATTTGTGGATCTACTGATCTAGGTGTGTTAAATACATGTTAAATACAGCTTGCATATCTGGCTCTACCTTGTTCTGAATCTGTTCCAAGCACTCTTGGGGCAATGATCAGGAGACTTAAAAGAGAGCCTACCACATATCCTTTGGAGCCAGATTTCTGTGACTATTATTTATCTTTCAATAAAGGAAAATGCATGTCTCCTACCCTTGGGTAAATGATAAACATGCTTTGTAAAATACTGTTGTATTTTTATTTTTATTTAATTAATTATTTTTATTTCCATAATTTTATTGAGAGACAAATAACAATGAGACAGTTTCAAATCAAATTGGTAGGACAGTTTCAATAATTAACACTTTTTTTTAAAATGGTAAAACATGCACACATAGTACTTAATTCAAAGGTACAAAGATTCCCCATGCCACCACCATCTAGTTCTCATATGTTCTTTTACATCCTACTTTTCACTTTTTCAATATATGTGTCTTAGAGCGTTTTCCAAAAGGTGCACACAAGTCTGTTTTCTTCCAGTGGACATACCTTAATTAATATATTTATTCTCTTACTGATGTACAGTTAGGTTTTTTCTTTTTGCTCTTACAGACTGTATATTGATCATCATGTTTGAGATTTGTAAGTATATATTTCTAGAAAGAGAATTCCTTGAAGCAAGTAGTTCAAAGGGTGTGTGAATTTTTTATTGTTGGTAAAAAATTTTGACAGATAATTGCCAGTTTTCCTCTGAAGAGGTAGTATCAAGTTAAATCTCCCCCAGTGAACTGGATAGTGCCCTTATAGTGGTGATCATTTTTTACTTGAATGCTTCTGTCTTGGTTACTTTTTCTTATTGCCAAGACAAAATACCTAATGCCCGAAGGTTTATTTACCTCATAGTTTGTGGAGGTTTCAGTCCATAATCAGCTGGCTGCATGCAAGGCGGTATGGCACTGGGCAACAGTTCAGAGCAGCAGAAGACAGCAAAAGCAGCAAGAGCGAAAAGGGGAAGAACAAACCTCTTCTCCTGCCTTCTATTGTCTGCAGGCTACCTGCCCTCCAGTGAGTATAGCGATCATACTATCTCCATGCCCCCCTCTTGCACAGGCTCAGGATGTTTACAAAGTGAGGAGCCTGGCCCCCTGCTGAGTCGGTTAAGCTTCTAAACTTCTCTAGTTGGCACAATGAACATCCTAGAGCAATAAGGGCATGTCCCCTACACCCCAGGATGCACAACTGCTGAGTTTCTTAGTTAAGCTTCTAGACTTCTCAAGTTGACACACCATTACAGCCTCTGCCAGGCTAACACAGTAGAGCTTTTCTTAATTCTGAGTGGTAGTGGCATGGTAGGGCCAACAAATGAGTTTTGCTCTTTTTTTTTTTTAATCTAGTAATTGATTAGGATAAAATTCCTGATTCTTGGATTCTTATTAATATGATAGGCAATGTGATAGTTTACAAACTTTGTAATCAGTGAGCTTTGGGTTCAAACGCTAGCTGTATTACTTCCTAACTACATATCCTCTTCATAGTACTCACTTTATTTTGTTTTCTGAGACTATTTCTTAATCTATAAACTATAACCAATAACATATACCTGGCAAAGTTATTGTGAAGATTATCTTCACGTATTAGTTACATATGTGAAATGTTATGTGTGCCTTTTAAATAATCTGCATTCCATTAATGTTTTCTTCCTTTCCATAAATGTGATTTGAAGCTAACAAAATCAACATCTCCTTTTAGACATAAGTGTTTCTCTTATGATCTTATCTGCCACAAGTAGTTGTTTTTGTTTTTTTGGAGATATGGTCTCGCTCTGTTGTCCAGGCAGGCTTTGAACCCACTGTGTAGCCCACACTGACCTTGAACTCATGATCCTCCTGCCTCAGTTTCCCAAGTGCTGGGATTACAGATGTGTGCCACTACACCCCGCTTGCCACAAGTAGTTGAACAGTACCTGGTCTCTCAAAGTTCATCAACCACCCGCGTCTTTTTTGTAGCCATCTTCTGGGCAGTTCAGTGGCTGTGTCTCAGGAGATCCCTGCCCTTTTCCCATACAACCAGCCAGCCCATTTCTTTGCCTCCACAGATGTCATTATCCCTGAGAATGGAGAACCAGTAGGCACCAGAGAGATCAAATGCTGCATTCGACAGATCCAGGAACTCATTATCTCCCGGCTTAATCAGGCAGTGGCTAACAAGCTGATCAGCTCAGTAGATTACTTACGTGAGAGCTTTGTCGGAACCTTGGAGCGGTGTCTGCAGAGCCTGGAGAAGTCACAGGATGTCTCAGTTCACATCACCAGTAATTATCTCAAACAGGTATGCAAAGAATAGTTGCTAAGATACCTTGTCACAGATAGTGGAACAGTTCACACATAATCTCCACTTCAAATTAGCCAGCATTTTTCCCTTTTAACTTTTTGCCTGTTCAGTTTGAATTTTATTTGTTCCTATCAAATGACCACCGTGAAGAAGGTGCTATTGAGCTATAAAATATGACACTTGAGAAACAAAGAAGTAAAAAAGGCCTAATTAGTTATAAAATAGATGATTAACATGAGTTGATTTTGTAATACATTGAAGGATAAATTTGGAAACCTTGAGACTGTTCTATATTCTCGAAGTAAATATTTGTTGCATTTAAAAATAGTCACTCTACTCAGAGCAGATTTCTTGTATGTATTCTCTTTCAGATCTTAAATGCCGCCTATCATGTTGAAGTCACGTTTCACTCAGGGTCCTCAGTTACAAGGATGCTCTGGGAGCAAATCAAGCAGGTAGGAATTAGAAAGAGAAAAAAATTGCTGTTCCTCATGGACTCATCTGTATCCTAGTCACTCTAGAAACCTAGTAGAGAAGAGACCTAGGAGCTGCTGTTGAGGTAGGGTATCCATGAGTTCTGGTTTGCCTTCCTGGAAAAATTAATGGTTTATGTCTGTTCTCAAACAGTTATTAACAGTGCTCCTTTAACTCTTAAAGTGGTAGGTTTAAATAATATTTCTTGTAGCTGTATGACTGTACTTCACTTGCTCCTTCATATCTCTTTTTCCAGGCTAAATGTCTCTCAGAATTAGATGTTGTCATTGCCAGAGGCCAAGAGTGTGGTTCTGACCTGGGTCTTATGTAGTTGGTTACTAATATTAAATTCAGGTACTTCAGTGACACTGAATTTAACTTGTAGGCAGGCCTACTGTTCTTCCTTTGGGCTGAGCCCTGAAATGGAGAGGAACCTAAACTTCATTTAGCACCTGTCTCAGGAGCCTGCTCCTAATGAATATATAGCCTGGAAAAAGGGGATTGTTGGGCCTTCTAGTAGTTCCTTTCTCCATCCCTCAGCGATCCCACTGTCCACATCTTGACAGATCATCCAGCGTATTGCATGGGTAAGCCCCCCTGCCATCACGCTGGAATGGAAGCGGAAGGTGGCCCAGGATGCCATTGAGAGCCTCAGCGCCTCCAAGCTGGCCAAGAGCATTTGCAGCCAATTCCGGACTCGGCTCAATAGTTCTCATGAGGCTTTTGCAGCCTCCTTGCGGCAGGTTGGTATGTAGGAAAAAAGGTACAGCAGGAATATACAGAACAGAGCCTCAGCCTTTGGCAGATGTGACACTTTCTATATAATTTTTTAAAAATGCATGAAACCCCACATTCTGGGGGACTGAGACAGGAGGATCATAAGTGAGTCTGACCCGGACAACAGCAAGACCACATCTTGGAATAAAAAAAATAAATTTAAGGGGCTGGGGATGTAGCTCAGTTCAAAGGTCCTGGGTTCAATCCCAGTTACTCCCCCCCACCCCCAAAAAAATCACTGTATTTTCTTTCTACTCTGTTAAAACATAATGTTATGCTATAGGAAATTTCATCAATAGGTTTTCATGTGGATATTTTCTAATTCTAGGGAGAGTAAAGGAGCCCAGTTAACCCCTACCCTTTCATTAAATAAGAAAAAAAATAGAGGAGGAATTTAGTTTATATAATATTTTAGACATGAATGCAGAAAGGGATATTTTCTAATTTCTATTATAGTTCACGGTTACATGATTTTTTATTTGCTTGTCTTTTGTGGGGATGAATGGATGTGATTATGAATCCCAGGGGGCAAAATTCTTATTTATTGATAGTGTGTGTACCAGTCTCTGTGCCAAGCACTTTACATATCCATGAACTTAGTTCTTATAATTACCCTATGGGGTATTGCTATTCTTATATAACAGGTGAGGAAGCTGAGGCTAGGGATGAGTACTCTGACGTTTTCTGTTTTATCTCAGCTGGAAGCTGGCCACTCAGGCCGGCTGGAGAAGACAGAAGATCTGTGGCTAAAGGTTCGGAAAGATCATGCCCCACGCCTGGCCCGCCTTTCTCTGGAGAGCCGGTCTTTACAGGACGTCTTGCTGCATGGTGAGTTCTTATTTTTTTCTAAGTAAATTGAAGTAAAGTTTGGGTTCTCTGAACCTTACGTCTAGCCTCCAAGGACCCCACTGTCCTCTGCCGCTTCCTTACAGATCTCCCTAAGCACTTACTGATGTGTTTTTGAATTCCTGAAGTCTGTTTGACCCTTATATTTATATATTTTAAATAACATGACCAAAGTTTAAGGTAACCAGCTAGGCTGCTTTCTGCTGGTTTACAGTGACTGCACTAGAATTTCTTCCCTTGGCATGATTGTGACTTCCTGACCTCTAAACAGAGGTTGTCCCATAAGCTCTTTCCCTCCTGTCTTAGCTCTGTTTTTCTGCCTTGTAGGTAAACCTAAACTGGGACAGGAACTGGGCCGGGGACAGTATGGTGTGGTATACCTGTGTGACAACTGGGGAGGACACTTCCCCTGTGCCCTCAAGTCGGTTGTTCCTCCTGATGAAAAGCACTGGAATGACCTGGCTTTGGAGTTTCACTACATGAGGTAGGTTCTGGTTTCATTCATTTTTATGGAAAAACAATCTAGAAAAGAAGCCTGAAGGTTGAAATGAGTTTTATACCAAGAGCTACAGCATGCCATGTCTCTCCATGCCTAGATTTCAAAATGTGTAGGCTAGTGTTTGTGGGACTCGCTCTCTGTAAGGCCATCACTGTCTTTGCTTCCTCTTTCCCCACCGTCTACAGAATCCTTGTTCAGTTATCTTTCTTCCGTAGTTATTAAGGCTTATTGGTTCTTAGCGTCCATGCTACTTTGCTCTGGGTGAAGAGGCCATTCTCTTTGTGCAGTCTGTGCTGAGGCCATTCCCTCTGGACTTGGACCTACTGTGGCCTTGGGCTTACTCCCTCCTCATCCCGGCCTGTCACGTAGCCCACTGTCTGCATTCCCACAGGTCCCTGCCGAAGCATGCGCGGTTGGTGGACCTCCACGGGTCCGTCATCGACTACAGCTATGGTGGTGGCTCCAGCATTGCCGTGCTGCTCATCATGGAGAGGCTGCACCGGGACCTCTACACAGGGCTCAAGGTGAGGTGGGGGCGTTGTAAGACCCAGCCAGACCCGTCACCTTCCTTCTGGTCTTTTATCCTTTCCCACTTTCTCAGAGCCTCTAGCTGTTGTTGGAGTACCAGGCTTTAACACACTTATTTCCAAAAAAGCTTAACTTGTTTATTGCCCCACTACATCGTTCACCATTTTGGCTTCTTATGGTGGTGGTCAAAATCTAGACTACTTAGAACAAAAAAGCTCCTGGAGCTATTCTTCTTTATCTTACTTTGTTTTCCTTGGAGAAACCCAGCTTTGTTTAGTCAACAAATATTTTATCAGCAATTACTTTGTATTAAGCACCAATAGTGACAGCAAAAAAATGTAATTGTTAGGACCGTCATGATGATGTGAAGTTTGAGTTTGACATGCATACCTCGATGGACAGGATCTAGAAAGATGGGAAAAGAGACCATAGTAGGGAAGGGGCAGCATAATACCAGAGCCCTCAAAGGCCAATAAAGACACTAAGCATGTGGGAGCATCTGCTTTTTCAGGGGAGTGGAGGGGAGATAATGTGCAAAGGATTAGAAGTAAATTATGTAAGACTTCACATGTTGAGAATTTCTTTCTTCTCTTTTTTTTTTTTTTTTGACAGAACCGGGGATTGAACTCAGGCCCTTGGCTTGCCAGGGAAGCGCTTATTCTATTGAGCCATCTCCCCAGCCCCACATGTTGAGAATTTCTGCAGAATTCAAATTTATTTTAGACAGTGAGAAGCTAAACAATCTTTACATTCTAACATAAACCCTAGTAAGGATCAGAGAAGACAGAAATCACTTATATGGCCTTAATTTTTTTTTTTTTTTAATGGTACCAAGAACCTCAGGACCTTGTACTTACCAAGCAAGTACTTGCGCCACTGAGCTATCTCCATGACAATTTATTTATTTATTTTTTTTAATGAATTGAAATACACAACTGAAGAACTGGGTAGAGGTGAAACCTTCAGTCTAATGTTACGTTTCCCTCACCAAAAACAGCTACCAAAAGGAAAACAGAAAAGTTTCTTTCATTTGTTCCTTCCATTGGAGCTGAGTGGAAGAGAAAAGCTGACCTCAGTGTATCTAGGTAGGCCCATCTCCCAGATACCCCTTGTACAGGTTTATAAAGAGCTTCCCAAAGTAGGACAGAGAAAGCAGAAATGCTTCCAAGAGGTGTGATGAAGGAGATTATTGTCCAAGTGATTTCCCTTTTTATCTCAGAGGATTTAAGCTTAGCAGTGTCTGATGCTTTTTGCAAGTGTGCTGGAGAATTCCATTCAGTCTTCTGAATAAGTGACATAACATTTTCTAGGAATTCAAGAGACCCTAATTAAAGTCATATGAGTAATTTTGGTATTTGAATCCATAAAAACAAGCCTGGGCTAACAAGGTTTGTCAAGAATGGAAGTAAATGCTTGAGGGACCTAAACAGTCACTTTGAGCTTTGGCAGTTCCAGAGCTGTTTACGTGTTAGAAATGACCTCATGCTTTAGTCATGCAGTTGCACCTCTCTTTGTCACATCTGAGGACTGCCCAGCTGTCCCAACTGCCGTTTGCAAAGGACTTTATCTGGCTTTGTGTTCTTTTTTTTTTTTTTAACCTGCTTTCCTCATCCCCTTTTCTTTCCCATGAACTTTTCTGTCCTCACGTGCCCTTGTGAAGTCTTTTAGTCCCTCATAGAAGGAAATCTCAGTTGGTTCAAGTGAGTTGGACTGAGATGTTGCTTTGTTTGTGGTAAGTAAGCTCTTTTGTCTCCCCAAGGCTGGGCTGACCCTGGAGACACGTTTGCAGATAGCAGTAGATGTGGTGGAGGGGGTCCGCTTCCTGCACAGCCAGGGACTTGTTCATCGTGATATCAAATTGAAAAATGTGCTGGTAAGTAACAGAGCTTACTTCTGTGGGCTAAGTGACCTTTTGGAAGGTGCACAGAAAAGTAGTCTGGTCCTTGTAAAAATCTAGGTGGAAAGTAGTAGAGTTCATAGCATACTGGATACATGGTGTTTGGACTTGAAGCTTACAGGAGTATTTCAACATAGCCTTACCTTATATTGTAAAGGTTTCCACCCTCTCCTATTGAATACTTTTTAATCTTACAGAAAAGCTACAATAATTGTACAGTGAGAACCCATACACCCTTATCAGTATGTGCTGTTTCTCCTGGTGTATTCACTTACTTTCTTACTCTCTTTTTCTCTATACATTCACATGCACACAGACACTTTTTTATTATACTTACATGAAAGGAAATTACAGTAAAATGTAACTCTTAAATACTTCACCATTATCTCCTAAGAATAAAGATAGTTTTCTATGGAAAATGTCATTATCACATCCAAGAAATTTAACATTAATATAATATTATTATTTAATATGTAATCTAGCCTGGCATGGTGGCTTATGCTGGAATCCCAGTAGTATGGGAGACTAAGGCAGAAAGGTTGGAAGTTCAAACCCACCCTGAGCAACTTAGTAGCTTAATGAGTTCCTGTCTCAAAAAAAAACATAAAGGGCTGGAATATAGCTCAGCATAAAGGTCCCAGGTTCAGTCCTCAGTGTCACACACACACACACACACACACACACACAGACTACATTAACTTATTTTAATCTCTCCTCCTTGCAAATATTCAGTTGCTCCAAAAATGGTCTGTTGAGCCGGGCATGGTAGCCCATGCCTATAATCCCAGGGCTTGGGAGGCTGAGGCAGGAGGATTGCTGCCAGTTTGGGCCAGCCTGGGATGCAAAGTGAGCTCAAGGCCAATCTTAGTGAGACCCTGTCTCAAAAAGAAAAAATTGTCTGTTAATTTGATCCAGGATCTAGGCCAAGGACCATGCAGGAAATTTTGTTGCTGTGCTTCTTCAGTCTCCTTCAATCTAGAGTAGTCTTTCTGCCTGTTTCAGCTTTTGTTACCCTGATACTTTTGAGGAGTCTAGGTCTTTGTTATTGGTTAGGGTTTGGTCCCAGATGCTGAATGATAGCTGAGTAAAGATATCTTAAAAGGTAAGATAGTCATGAGCTCAGCAGTTCTGTTATCTAAACTCTTTTGACGTATTCTTGAGAAAATTTCAGAGTATCATTAAGGTGTTTCTGACATTTCAGTGACATAAAGATAATACCAGTTGATCTTTAAAGGATGGGAAGGGGAAGATGCCCCTAAAATTATAGGCTAAAACCTAATAGCTAAATGAGATAGATTAGTCTCAAGGATTTTGGGGGGGATTTGGTTGTTCTTCTGTTTGTCATGGTGGTGGGGATTAAGCCCAGGGCCTTGCAGTTTTAGAGCCAAGCAGATAATTCTTTACTGAGCTGTACCTCCAGCTCTCTCTTGGATCCTCAGGACAGCAAACAGTTGGAATTTCAGGAATCTCCTCAACTGACAAGAAGACCTCTGTTTTTTGTTCTGGGCTCAGGAGAATAACCAAGAGCTAAAGAATCTCCCTCAGAGTACAGTATTTCTCTGAACCCTAGCTTATTTATTCTTCTAAGATTTATGAAAATTTATGCCAAGCACTAGGCCAAGTGCCAGGGATACAAAGATGAAAGAGGTCATCTTAGCCTTCAGGTGGATTATGGGGAGGAAGACAGTAACAGAAATGAATCTGGGGGTAGGAAAGTTGGAGAAAGATATTAACAATAGTACTTTGAGGTACCTATTTTAAGCTTAGGTGTATAACTAAGAGCTGTGTGCAGGATCAGAAGCAAGGTGACTATCATCCTGTTTTGTTGGCAGCTGGACAAACAGAACCGTGCCAAGATCACAGACTTAGGATTCTGCAAGCCAGAGGCCATGATGTCAGGCAGCATTGTGGGGACACCAATCCATATGGCCCCTGAACTTTTCACAGGTACAGCAAGGGGGCAGGGAGTGGGTTTGGGCAGGGCTAAAATAAGCATTCTGATGCTGCATACTATCCCTAGGCTGAGTAGTAGGCACAGGTACTCTTGGCAGGTCTGACATAGGCAAGGATGAAACCAGAGCAGGGAAACCTAAGGCAGATAAGGGGAAAGTACATAGTTAGAAGAAGTGCAAATGAGAGTCTTTTGGATGTCTCTGTGGCTTATTATGTCATACTTGCCTAAGTCAGTCTATTATTTGCTCATAAATAATTGAGTAATTCTTATGTAATAAAATTATCCTCTATCATTAAAGAGTTTACAATGTACATAGATATATTTTGGTGGTAATGCAATTTTGAAGCAGTATGTGATTAAATGCTAAAGTAATGGCTATATAATATACTGTTGGTGTTCAGCAAAGGTTGAAGTATTTGGTGGTTTTGTGGTAGAACTAGAATCTGATCTGGAAGAATTGGTGAGTGGAAAGGAAACTTATAGTGTGGACTTTGAGGGAGGTAGTGCATATGTTCTATTTTGTTTAATGCTTTCAATAATTCTGTGATGATGTGGAGGTATTTTTATGTCCATTTCATGGATAAAGTTGAGATCAGATTGATGAAGTGACTCACTCCAAAAACACTGAGCTAGAAGGCAGTGGTCCTAGAATCTGAATGTAGAGCTTTCTGTCTGCATTTTCCAACCACTTGTAATGAAGGAAAGAAACTTCTAGGGGTTGGAGAAGGGAAATACTGAGGAAAAAAAGTGCAGAATACAGATAAGGATGACAGGAAAAAAATGTCCTATTTGAGAACAGTGCCAAATAAAGTTGGAGATGAATACATTGAGCTTGTAGAGGAGTTTGTTCAAAAAGTCAGGAGCTATTGAGCTTTTGCCCAGGGGAGAGATAAAAAGACAGTGTTTATGGAATGTTCGCTCAGTGGGGATTTGAGTAACAAGTACTAATAAAAGGAGACCAGCTAGGTACTGGTTATCTCTAGGATTAGTGTGTAACATAGAGAAGTGATTTTCTTGAGATTGATTCAGGGTAAGAATAAGCAAGATTGTGTTATTAACTTGCTGAGTGATGAACAGAGTAGAATAATTAAAAGATGACTGTAAACTTCTGAGCCCAAGTGAATGGGGGCCATTGTTGTACTTTACCAGGGAGAACAGAAAGGTAATTGCAGGTCAGTCAGAGCACTTGTACCAGCTAAAATTAGCAGTGTGTCTGAATTTACTTCATTTTGTATATGTCTTCCCCCAGTTCTTCATTAAGTGATACACTTATGTAAGCATTAGAGAAAGGTAGACAGCTGTTTATTCTGCCCACATCTGAACCAAGTAGACAGTCATCAGTTTTTTTTCCCCTAAATTTATGTTGTTTTTATTTTTAATTTCTGTTCCCACTACTATTGCTCTATCTTGGCTGTTATTCATATTTAAAGTCTGTTGATTGGGGCTGGTGAGATGGCTCAGTGGTCTAAAGCACCTACTTAGAACAAGCTTAGCAAAGCACACGGACCGCGGTTCGATCCCCCAGCACCACATGCCAGCCAGCCCCGCCCCCTGGTGGGCTGAGCTGGCCACACACACACACATAAATAAATAAATAAAAATTAAAAAAAAATAAAGTCTGTTGACTATTTTTATTGCAGTCCACTTTTTTATTTATTTATTTATTTTTTTGTGGAACTGGAGATTGAACTCAGGTGCTTGCGCTTGCCAGGCAAGTGCTTAATCTACTGAGCTATCTCCCCAGCCCCCGCAGTCCACTTTGTTATCAGAATAATCTTTCTAAAATATTATAGTTTCTGGGTGTGGTGACACATGCCTATAATCCCAACTGCTTGGGAGACTGAGGCAGGAGGGTTGAAAGTTAAAGGCCTGTCCGGGCAACTCAGCAATACTTGTCTCAAAAATTAAAAAGGGTTGGGGATGTAGCTCAGTGTTACATTCCCAGGAACCAGCCCCAGTACTGTTAAAGAAATTAGGTTAAAACAGGTTACCACTGTGTAAAACATGTGACTTTCTACTGCCCATTAGATCCAGACTCTTCCCTTTGCCTTTAAAAATTGTTAGATATTGGGGCCAGGGATATAGCTTGGTGGCATAAGCTCCGACCTAGCAAGCACAAGGTGCTGAGTTTGATCCCTGGCATGGAGAAAAACAAATTGTTAGATATTGGCTCCCACATACTCCACCATCACACACCATGTAACCCAGTATTAATTATGCAGATGGCCATGAAGCCAAAAGGCATGACGCTCCATCCCCTTTGTCTAGTTCTGAGCTTGATGTTCTTTGTGCCTGGCTTTAACCTCTTGCTACAATAGTGTTCTGTTGTGAAATGGGATTATAAGTGTGCAATGCTGCATGGAGGGCTGTTACAAAAGGAAGTGGTGGTTAAAAGCCTTAGAGGAAAACATGTAATGACTTGCAGGTACAGTGTGGTGCATGCTGCTGCCTTTCGCTTCTTGACTCACTTTCTCATCCCTTCTTGCCATAGGGAAGTACGACAATTCCGTGGATGTCTACGCTTTTGGGATTCTTTTCTGGTATATCTGCTCAGGCTCTGTCAAGCTTCCTGAAGCATTTGAGAGGTGTGCTAGCAAAGACCACCTCTGGAACAACGTGCGGAAAGGTAAGAGCTACAAGCCCCACTCTGCCTTGACTCTGTTCTACTCCACAGGTGGACCACACTTACACCATCAGGGGATCTCAGAAAGACCCTCGTAAGTCAAACTTTTGCTTCCAGGCAACTCTGTATTGAAGCACTCAAAAGTGATTTTTTTTCTGTTAAACTTTCTAATTCTTCAATTTCCTATGCCAGTACATTCCAATTTCCCATCATTGTTCCATTCAGGTTCTAACTTGGATGTGCAGTGGAAGCCAAAGCTTGCATTCCTTAATGTTCTGTGTCCCAACTTGTATGATCAGCTCTTTGTATTGGGCCCATCTCACTAACTACTCTTTCATTTGATGGTGGTAGTACTGGAATTGAACCCATAGCCTTCACACTGAGATATATCCCAAGCCCTTTTTACTTGTTGAGAGAAAGTCTTGCAAAGTCACTGTGTTGCTCAGGTTGAACTCAAAGTTGTACAGCTCCTGCCTCAACATTCAAGGGATTACAGGCATGCACCACTGTGCCCTCTTCATCCACTGGACTTATCTTTGTGCTCCTCTCTCTAGGGGCCCGCCCAGAACGTCTGCCTGTATTTGATGAAGAGTGCTGGCAGTTGATGGAAGCCTGTTGGGATGGTGACCCCTCTAAGAGGCCTCTCCTGGGCATTGTGCAGCCCATGCTCCAGGGCATCATGGACCGCCTCTGCAAGTCAAGTTTTGAGCAGCCAAACAGAGGACTAGATGATTCTATTTGAAAGCAAAAACCTTCCGCCACTGTTTCTTTCTGTTCCCTCACCTTTGGCCAAGAGGAGAATTTGACATTATGCATTATAGGGCGCTTCTGGGGGACTTGGTGCTTGCTGGGCAGCTTGAGACCTTGCCAGACAGAGATAGCTCCTGGGTAGTAAGAAGCTGGACGGCTATTGAGCTGTTGGGGTAGTTCACTGATGCTCCATATGATTCCCTCAGCAAAAAGATTGTCTAATATGTGCAAAAATGGAACATGGGATGTTCTGGTCTCAAAACAGAAAAGGAGGCAAATGTTACCAGTGTCTGTTCACTGTATTATGTTTCTAAGACAAGAAGTAGAACACTGTAGTGGCAATAGTATTAAAACCATTATTTTTGTGATGTCAGCTCCCGCTAGGGATAATTTGATTCTACCCAGTGGTTAGGCCCACTTAGAAAATCTGACCTTAGTTCAGGATTCTATGAACATAAGGACAGAAAAGAAAATATTATGCTTGCCTGGTTCCTGCTGTCTATAACCAGGGATCTCAGGTTGTAACAGTCCAGCTAAAAAGCTAGAAATAAGCCTGCTCCTCCTCACTGTGCCAGTGTGTTTACATTTATAGGGCTACACACCCCTAATTTCTAGGGGAAGGATTTACTGTTACTTTACCAAGAGGCAAAAAAAAAAAAAAAAAAAAAAAGAGCATGTGCATATGTATGTATATATGTATATAACCTGTTGGATTTGAGTTACTGCTCACCCCAGAACCGAATCTGTTCTTCTGCCTGTGGGTCTTCCCTCTCAGCCCTCTGCTGGTCTCAGGTGGAGAGCTCCATGCTCTAGAGCACATGGTACTGGGGACAAGCATCTGAGCAGAACCGACCCACTGTGAAACATGTGGGTAAGCCTGGGAGTGGGAAAGGATCAGACCCATGGCCTGCACGCAGACCTCTGGAAGGGTACCGAGTGGTTTTCACAGAAACTCTTCTCTTTGTGTTTAAAATTAACACACTAATATATTTAAAGCTTAACCAATGGTTAAAAAGCCAAGGCTTCTATACTTTTTACCTATTTTAAATATAATCTGTTAGAAGGAAGAAGAGCCAGACCTCCCACCTAAAAAAAAAAAAAAAAAACCAACAAAAGAGAAGTCCAGTTCTGTGTCTTAGCATCTGGCAAGTACCCTGCCTCTGAGTCTGAGGAGAGAAACTGACTCCTGGCGGAGGCGGGGAAACAGTTGAAACATTGGTGCATCTCAGGTCTTGATTTCAAGCCTTCCTCCACAAAACTGTCCATGAGCTGTAGAAACACAGGTAGGTGAAGGAACAGACGCGGAGGTGGGCAGCCCCCGCACAGCTGTCCAATCTCAGGGGCTGTGGGCAGGCCCTCTGTCCAGCTCCAAAGTGTGAAGTAGGTCCCTGAGTAGGTGTTGAAGATGACTGTTACGCTAGTGCTGGGGTTTTCTAGGGTTGTTTGCAACCGAATGACCAGCTCTTGCCTATTAACAAAGTCTAAGCGGAGTATATAATAATTTTTATATAACTTTTAAAGTTCAGTTTTTGAACTTCAGCCACCCTAAGCTCTCATTATGATACATTTAAGCACAGGAGCAGTCTCAGCACTCGCAGCCCTTCAGAAACTTTATGTAATGCTATATACCTTTTTACATTCAAATGATAAAGTTAAGTGACTGACCAGTGTCTTTGGGCATTGGCTCCAACTTCATTTTGTAGACTGTTCAGCGTACCTCTTAGAATTTTAACACGTATTTAAGCTAGACGTCAGGCGTTCTACTTTCCTTGGCAATGACCTGTTGCCCTTCTGGCAATGATGATAGGGCTCTGGGAATCCATGTGTCAAGTTAAGAACTAAGTAGTTTGCTTGCCAAAGAGTCGTACATCTGTTCTATATGAAGTTTCAAGGACAGTCTTACATAGTTATTTCCCTTTTCCAGTCTGTGCTCTTAATTCTAGTATAATCGGAAGTCTATAGTTCCATTATGAAAGCCACATTTGGAATGTTCTTTGGAAGTCTTAGCTCAAGCTCCCGTTCACCATGGGAAGTTAAATTTTTTTCCAACCAGAGTCCTTTTCAGTTCATCTCCTGTGGCTTAGTCCACCCTCAGATACCAGTTTTCTAGCAGGTTGCCTACATTTTTACCTAGTGGAAAAGGCAAGGGGACTAATACTAGGTAAGGATATGAGCAGTTATTTTCATTGTAAAAAGTATTCTGAGAAAAGGTGCAAGATATGCCTGGAAGTGTCTGGGCCAACCAAAGTCTACATACGGATATTTGGGGCTGTTATTTAAATACTCAGCAGGCTGAGTGCTGGAATATGTACCCACGTGTGTATAATGTATGTGTACTTTTTTGTATAACATTGTTAGCTAATTTTAGACTTTTTCCCTTGGCACCCATTGTTATTAATATTATGGAATGCCATGAAATGTACTGTACTGTATACTACTTGAGAAGACACTAGATATTGTGAGAAGTGTGGCAGTACTTGGGTAGGACAGGGCATATCCCAACCAATATCCTGAGGCCCTTGCCTGCAAGTGTTGGTTGTCTGTGTTCCCAAGAGTTGAGGTGAGATTGTGGCTGAGGGAGGAAGGCGGGCCTGTCAGATTACCTTTACTGTGTTCAATCCTTCTAAAAAATGTAATGAGAGCAGTTTACCCCACCCAACATGATTACCTGGCCTCTTTCATGAGCTCCAAGTCTGGTCACTCATTTGGCTTCAGATCCAAGCAAGAGGCCTTCCTGCAGAGCAATCAGAAGAAACCACAGTGCAGCCTGGGCCCCTGGACCAGTGACCCTGTGCCTAGAGCTTGCAATGCAGGTGAGTGCTGCTGGTCCAGAGGAGGTGCCCATACGCAGACCCTGCCCCCTGCTCTCCCGCAGAGTGGATCCTTGACTGAGCAGGCCTTCCATAGCTCAGGACAAGAGGATTTTGCTGTTGTTCCCAGACCAAAGAGTCATATCTGACTCTATCACCTCTAAGAAGAGAGCCTAGGCAGCAGCTGCTTGTATTTTATTTTTTAAACACTAAATCTCAAAGAAGTAGTAGGAGAAAAGATATGTTACTACCACAGATAGAAATAGGAGAATGGTAGAACTCTTGGCCAGTAATCCGTCAGCTCCCAAATGGATTTTTATAACTTTGCTTGAACTGCCAAAAGAGGGCTTGGAGGGCTGAGAGGTAGCACAGTGGCAGAGTGCAGCCTTGCCTGTGCTTGGCCTTGGCTTCCAAGCCCAGTACCAAAAGCCCAAAGCAGGTGTGGGGAAATGTTTCTCTTGATGGGAGAATGGCTAGAGTGTCAAGGTTGGGAGGTGACAGCTACACTGAATGACATTTTATTTTTTGGCTTACTATTTAGCATTGAGAAGCCTAGAAAGGGGGTTTGTATGGTTACAGCAGCACCTTGAGATACTGAGGCACCCTCTGACCTTGATTTGTAGAGATGCCACACTTGGTATTGTACTGGGCCAATCAGGAAGCCTCTGAAGTCTGCACTGCACCACCAAAGGATGAACAGCCCTGGAAGTGTCCTTTACCAAAGATGAGTTGCTTTCTTTGAACTTTTGAAGCGTGCTTTTTGGATTTGCTGGCTCCAAAAAAACTCATTTTTCTTTAAAAGAAAATGAAGGTGTATTCTTCTGAATATAGGGGTAGGGTGGGACAGAGCTAGCTTGATAAAGAGGGTAGGAAGGAGTGGCCTTGAGGTGTTCATGTCATAGACTCCCTGGAGTTGTCAGATAGCACTATTGTTCTTAACTATTGTTTCATGTTTAACTTCTGCTTTGTTAACATCTAATCCAGCTGAGGTGATGGCAAAGGCCATGTGAGAATACCTGTCATTGAGAGGCCAGTTTGCTGAGAAAAGTGGTCACCAACAGCTTGTTGTCTTGTCTTTATGTAATGTTTTTTTGTTTGTGTTAAAGAACTAATATTTGTTACAGTGTTAAATAAAAGTGTAACATACTAAGTGTGTAGAATAAAAAGTGCAATAACAGAAGAAAAATACTTTGGCATAAACTCTCTATGCTCCCTCCTTCTTTGTGCTACCTGGCTCTGTTCATATTGTTACAGGACTACGTTAACTGTATTTTTAAGAGATTCGACTATGGGTTAAGTCTTTGCTTACATAATTTTTAATGGTTGGGTTTGGTTTTATAGAGTATTCTGTATCATTGTTAGGATTCACAAGTACAGGATGCGCTGTATAATAAAGATCACATTAACGTTGTTTTAGTTTTACATCTGTTTGGCTTTGGCTCTCCTTTACTACCTGTGTTAGGATGTTCCCTGATCATTCACTGGAAACTGTTGCTCCCTAACCTTCCATTGTATGGTCTTCTCCAGTCCTTATAATGGTTTGCTCCCCCCCCCACTTAACACAGTATTGGGGATCACATTCAGGGCTTATATTGAGCTACATCTCCAGCCTTGATTTATTTGTTTTTGAGGCAGTATCTCACTCAGTGGGTAAGTTTGTCAGGCTGGACTTAAAACTTGTGATCTTCCTAACTCAGCTTCCTCAAGTGTTGGGATTCCAAGCATGTATCATCACACCTGGCTCCATTGATCTTCCCACTGGGTACACCTTATACACCATCACTGGAGAACGGGGCAGGAAAGTGAGAGACAGGATTATGGAGAAGGGGGATGAAGTGGGATAACAGCATTTATTTCACAGCCTATCCTGAAGTAATACCCTTTACTCCAACTTGCTTTTAGCATGAACTTGCAGCATTCCAAGTTTATACATGAACTTAGCTATTACATTATGAGAGACTGTGGCTGCACTCTATACACCAGCCTATCTGCAGTTAAAATATTTTGAGTCTTCTCTTGGGGATCACCCAGATGATCAGATTTTCTGGCTTACCAGTGTCTGACAGCCCCCAGGAACTAGGCATCCATGTCTGGTCCCTAGGGAGGCCAGTGTACAGCAGGGTTCTCTATGGGCTGTATTTATTTTGTTTTATTTTAATTTTTGGTACCTGGGATCGAACACAGGACCTTGCACTTTCCAGTTGGTTTGTTTTAATTTGCCTCATATCATGTTGGGCTTGTTGCTGTGTCACTTTTGCTGTATTAGTAACGTGATTGGAACACAAGGCTGGCCAGGAGATGGGTGCACATCTTACACAGGTGTTACGTTTATTTCTTAAGGAAAAGGCTAAAATTGAATCTCATCTCAGCTTCCATCTCCACAGTAGTCCTGTGATGCAGGGCAACCTTGTATTATGGTTTATGTCTAGATGGCCCCTCAAAGGCTCATGCAGTCATAGGTGAGTCTTTTCAGAGGTTGCTGGATCTAAGTCTGTGATGCTGAGATTAAGGGTATGTGATTACTAAATTAGTCCACTGATTAGTTTGACATAGTTCTGAGTGTGGACAATGGAAAGGCCCACCCTGGATATGAGTGTTGCCTGCCCTAAGGATGCATAGTCTGAATAGGGTATAAAGGACAGAAACGCCTCAATTGTCACTCGCTGTCTGCCACTTTTGCTGCTTCCTGCCTGCCATAAACAGTGTCTCCTCTCCATGTGCCACCCTCCCTCTGAACTAGCCAGTTATGGACTGAAACTATTACAAACTGTGAGTTGAAATAAACCTTTCCTCCTTTAACTTGGGTGTTGGTTATTTTGTCTTAGCCATGAGAAAAAGTAACTAAGATACCTTACAAGCTTGTGAAACTCCCAACTCAAGCCACTTATCACAGTTACACTTGCTATGTTGTATTCTCTATTTTCCCAGCATAAAGTTCAATGTAATTGAGTTCTCCTAATCTTTTTTCTTCCTATTGTTGTTCTGGAAAAAAATATCATGGTATACACATTTTGAACATGCTTTTTCAAGAACACATCTCTCAAAGCTGAAAGCTTTCCCTCTAAAATCAGGAACAAGACAAGAATGTCCATTATCACCACTCCTGTGTAACATAGTTCTTGAAATTAGTCAGAGCAATCAGGCAAGAGAAAGAAAACATGATCCCTTACTTATAAGATCCAAAAACCACCAAGAAATCCCTAGAATTGATAACCAAATGCAACAGTGTAACAGGATACAAAATAAACAATTAGTAACATTTCTACACATTATTACAGAATTCACTGAAAAACTAATTAGGAAACCAATACCATTCACAATAGTGTAAAAAAAATTAAATACTTACATATAAGTCCCTGACTTAGGAACAAGTTCCAGGAGAATGTTTATAAATTGGATTTGTTCCTAATCCAACAAAGTCTTACACAGTATACCTATGGAAGTTTGCAATCCCAAGTATTCATAAGTCAAAGATATACTGTATTCACCTAACTAAGGAAGTAAAAGATCTCTACAGTGAAATTACCTCAGACAGGGGCTGGAGAGATGGCTCAGTGGTCTAAAGCACCTACTTGGAACAAGCCTGGCAAAGCACAGGGACCGCGGTTCGATCCCCCAGCACCACATGCCAGCCAGCCCCGCCCTCTGGTGGGCTGAGCTGGCCACACACACACACTAAATAAATGTAAAAAAAAAAAAAAAAGGAAATTACCTCAGACAAAGGAAAACGAGGATACCAGAAAATGGCAAAATATTCCCTGTCTTTGGATAGTCAGAACAAATATGGTCAAAATGACTATACTTTCAAAATTGATATATAGACTTAATGCAATACCTATCAAAATTCCAATGTCATTTTTTTTTTAAATGTAGTCATTTATTTATTTATTTGTGTGTGTGTGTGTGTGTGTGGCCAGCTCAGCCCACCAGGGGGCGGGGCTGGCTGGCATGTGGTGCTGGGGGATTGAACCGCGGTCCCAGTGCATTGCTAAGCTTGTTCCAAGTAGGTGCTTTAGACCACTGAGCCATCTCACCAGCCCTCCAATGTCATTTCTTAACAAAGCTAGAGCAAACAATCCTAAAATTTATAAGGAATCAGAAGAGACCCAGAATAGCAAAAGCAGCCTGGGTAACAAAAACAAAACAGGTGGCACCACAATCTCAGACCTGACATTATACTATAAAGCTACAATAATTAAAACAGCATGTTATGGGCTGGCAAGATAGCTCAGCAGACTAAGCATCTGCTTAGGTAAGTGCAAGGACCGGGGTTCAATCCCTGGCACCACATGCGCACAGGTCCCACACCTGAGCACACTGAGCCAGCCACTAGTCCGGGTGTGGTGGTACATACCTGCAATCCCAGCTCTGGGGACACTGAAGGGAGGATTACTATGAGTCTGAGCTTCATACTGAGACCCTGTACCAAATATTCCATATTCAGAGACAATCCTGGTAAGACAGCATGATACTAGTATAAAAGCAGGCATGTGGGTCAATGAAACAGAACAGAAACAAAGCCAGTTACTTACAATTTATTTGATTGTTGACAAAGGAATAAAAAAACATGCTCTGGAGAAGGCTAGCCTCTTTAGTAAATTATTCTGGGGACATGATATCCATATGCAGAAAATTAAGTCTAGACCTACATATCTCACCATGTACTGAACTAAAAATGGATCAAAAAGCTAAATGTTAAACACTTAATCAGCTGGAAGACAAAACAGGTACAACTCTTGAAGACTGGGTGTTGGGAAGGATTTTCTGAACAGAACACCAATGGCACAGGAAAACACAGACAATCAACAAATGGGATCATAACAAATGAAAAAGCTTCTGCACAGAAAGGACAACAACAGAGGGAAGAGACAGTCTACTTGCTGGCTGTTCTACAGAGAACTAAGATCAAGAATATATAAAGAACTAAAACAAATTAGATCCTTCCCATAATAAAAGACTCAACTAAAAACTGGGCAACCAAAATGAACACTTTTCAGAATTAAGAACAAATGGCCAATAAACACTGTATATTAAAAAAATGCTCATTGTTGCTAGCTATTAGAGAAATGCAAATCAAAACTACACTGAGAGAAAAAAAACCCAACACTGAGGTAACACTTTATCCCAGAAAAAACAGCTATTATCAAAAAAAAAATCTAATAATAACAAAGGCTGTCAAGGATGTTGGGAATTCTACAATGTTACTGGGAATGTAAACTAGTATCATTATGGAAATTAGTGTAGAGATGCCTCAGAAAACTAGAAGTAGAACTTCATTTGACCCAACTATCCTCCTCTTAAAAATCATATTACAGGGATACATACATACCCAAGTTTATAGCAGTACAACTTATAATAGCTAGATCTTAGAAATAGCATACATGTCCAGCAACGACTTGAGTCATTTGTAGGTAAATGGATGTAACTTGAGAATATAATATTAAGTGAAATAAGCCAGGCATGTAAGCTCATATATCACATGGTTTCTCTTATATGAGAAACCATATATCTATATCTATCGATCTATCTATATATTCATATATTTTCTTATATGACAAATACTGTATTTTACAAATGAAGAACAAAATAGAAGAGAGAGAAATAGAAAGCAGGCATCTTTGTGGGAGGCAGAGACCTGGAGCTTCAGTTCCACCTGAGCTCTTTCTCTGTCTTCCTGTGGTGCATATCTCATTACTATCTTAACTCTGCACCTTGTGGTGTGATTTTTGCTATGCTAACAGAGTGCAAATAACTATGGATATCTTTAGAGACTTGTCTACACATGAATTTGTCCCTTACCACCTCTTGTCACTGGGAAATTGCCTAATTGGGTGAAGCAGAGCAGGAGTAGGTTTGATTTTAATGATCTTGTTTTTCTTAGCACTGGCTTTTGGTATCTCTGATGACAACATAGACTCTGAAGGCTGAGTTGACTTCCCATCCTCCCATCTTTTGGTGTTATCTTTATTTTATAGCCTTAAATACTGGCCTACTTTTGAACAACACTCAACTCCCTGGTATGTTTGTTAACCCATGAGACTGAGGGCTAGCTTAGCTGTCTCAAGACTACTGGTTGTCTTTTTAGCTAAAGGGGTATTTTGCTATACATAAATTTTATTGATTATGTAACCATATCTGTCATTTTAAAATGACCTCTGCTTTTTTTTCAATTTAAGACCTGTTTCTCTGACCCTTCCTGACACCTAATCTCACACTCAACATGCCTGTAAATTCCTGGATATTGTTCAGCACTATATTTGATAGAAAAATGAAGGGAATATTGAATTTTTTGTTGTTCGTTCATTGGTCCTTGAAGTTAAAAATTATTTCTTTGAAATTAAAAAATAAAAAAATTAAAATAAATAAGTAAAAAATGAAATTAAAAATAAGACTGAGCGGTGTGAACGTAAAAGGGTAGTACT